CAGACCTAAGATTCCTGGCTGCGGGGTGGCGGAGACATAGGTGGGATAGGGTGGTCTTAGGATAGCACAATTATTGTATATGGCAGTAGGTTGGACACAGGTCACTAAATACTTGTCAAGACCCATAGACTGTCCAACACAAGGAGGCTGAAACTTTATGTAGCCCAGGCTGGACTCAGTTTTGAAGCAATCCTCTCATCTCAGTATCCCAAGTACTTGGATCACAAGAACACAGGCACACAGCACTGCACCCGGGTGACACCCTGTTTGCTGTTTTCTGGGTTTGTTTGGTTTTTGTGATCCTAGCCCACGCTGACCTCAGACTCCCTAGGTAGCCAAGGACGACCCTGAGCTCCTGGTCTCCCTCCCAGAGGTGGGATTATGTGTAGCTGCCACTGTGCCCGGCAGAAGTTGTGTTTCTCATGAGCTCCCAGGTGTGGGCACTGGCTGGGCGGCACCGCTGTTAGAAGCCCTGGATTGGTGGGTGAGCATTAACCCAGGACCCATACGCTTCAAAGTTACTTTTTAAAGGTGTATTTTACTATTTTTAATTGCACACACACGCACATGTACAGAGGGGTGTGTGTGTGTGTGTGTGTGTGTGTGTGTGTGTGTGCATGCGCGCGCGCATGAATGCAGTCACTGACTAAGGCCAAAAAAGTGTCAGATCCCCTGGAGCTGGAGTTACAGGTGGCTGTGAGCCACCCTACGTGGGCACTGGGAACCCTACACAGGTCCTTAACAAGAGCAATAATGTTCTTAACTGCTTAAGCATCTCTCTAGCCCACCTTCTTTTTTAAAAAAGATTTTGATTATTAAACTAATTCTTGTTTCCTTTTGGGGGTTTTTGTTTGTTTGTTTGTTCTTGTTTTTGTTTTACAAGACAGGCTTTCTCTGTAGCTTTTGGAGCCTGTCCTGAAACTCGCTCTATAGAACAGGCTGGTCTCAAACTCACAGAGATCCACCTGCCTCTGCCTTCCAGAGTGCTAAATGAAAGGCGTGCACCACCACCACCTGGCTATTAAATTAATTCTTATTGCAAGACTTTATGGATTCAGTGGTCCCATTTTACAGAAGAAAAAAATGGAAATGAAAATAGAAAAAAAGGCATCCCAGCTGGCCGTGGTGGCACTGATGTAGGAGTCTGTAATCTCAGTGCTCCAGAGCCTGGGGCAAGGGGCAGAACCGTTAATCCAGTCCCTTTGAATGTGTAGAGACTGGAAGCCAGTCGCTTTGATCCCAGCTCCTTGCAGCAAAAGTGCACTTAATGAGGCCAATTCTGGGAGGTGCCAGTTATCTACCCTATTACTTCTAAACTGGCTGTGGGAGCGGCTTCCTCTTTGGTCTGGGTGTCAGACATTTGCAGCTCAGGATTTGCTTCTGCAAGTTTCCACACCCTCCATTGCTCCACAAATCCTCTACCTACTTTAACCAGCCCACGATAAATCCCTTTTTGCTCCAGGTTAGTTGGTCTTAATTCTCTGTGACTGGGCTTGGCCCCTGAAGAACAACACTCCCCCTAGTGGTGCTGCTAAGACTAACAACAGTGAAAAGACATTCACATTCAGACTAGGTGTGGGTCACATGCACCCCCAGCACTGAAGGGGTAGAGAGAGGAGGAGGAAAAGTTCGAGGCCACATTGGGCTACATAGAGAGACCCTGTCTCCAGAATAAAACAATGGTGGATGTAGAAAATGTACAATTAATGCAAACTAACCTTTTAAAGGGGGTGGCGATGTATATCTCAATGATAAATCCCTAGCCTACTCTGTGAAGGGTCCTGGGTTCAGTTCTCAGCACAGCAGAGGTAGGGGGGTCGAGACCACTTGTACAAAATAAAACACGCACACTCTAGAAACCCCACACAGCCCTCCGGTTCTCAGTCACCTTTGATGGGGCTGTCTCATATACCAGCCAGGATTTGACATAGTAAGCTGAAGGCAGCATTTCCCCAGCAAGTTTCATCAAAATCTCCTTAGGCCATCTCTTGTTCGCCCACTCTTACCCTCACATGGACGGCGTTCAGTAAATTGAGACTTCTGGAAGCTTGCACACGTGCTCGTCAGCGGTGTGCGTTCCGTGATGACTCAGACAATAGAGGGGCACTAGCCACAGCGAGAACGTGGAGGTCGGAGGACAACTTCGCGGGTCGGCCCTCTCCTTCCACCATGTGAATTCAAGGATTGAACTCCGGTCCTCAGGCTTAGTAGCGAGTTCCATTACTCACTAAGCCTTCTCGCTGGCCCTATGGTCATTTTTGTGTTTATCACTGGCCCCTGGCCACTGAAGAAGGCACTAGCCATTTTAGATTTAGGCACAAAGGTCATCATGAAAAGACCTTTTCAAGTCATCTGCTCAGGAATTCACTGGTTCATCCCACCTGCCTGTTCCGTCCTCCTCCTCTTAGTCTCTAAAAGCAGCAGGTTCATGTATGTATCATTACTTATTTATTTATTATTTGTGTTTTGAAACAAGGTTTCTCTGTGGAACAGCCCTGGCTGTCCTGGAACTCACTTTGTAGACCAGGCTGGCCTCGAACTCAAAGAGATCCGCCTGCCTCTGCCTCTTGAGTGCTGGCATTAAAGGTGTGCGCCACCACCTTTCCGGCCCCATCTTGATTTTCTATTTTCCATTGAGATGACCTTTTACTGTATAATCACCAAGGTTAGTTACTGTTCCAAAGTCTCCGCAAGACAGGCTGCAGTGAGCATTCCTCCCACAGAGGAGCCATGTCCTTGGTCCCCCATTCTGCAGTGATACCATCCGCTTGTTTCCTCCTGGGTAAGGACAAATGCATTTGTTCCATGTTGTGGGACTGCAGCACACTGATGCGCCCTGTTAGTATCTTCACCAGGAGAATCAGGGCTTGAACAAGAAGAGCCAGCGTGCTGTAGTTCCACAACAGGAACCAGACCAGGTTGGGGCTCTGCTTTTGACTAAAGGTTTCTGGAGCTTTGGAAGAGCTGCATAAATCCAAAAGAGCTCAGCTGTTACCCTGCGTGTCCTATGTGCGTACACTAGGATGTCTATAAATGTTGTTATTACTGATAAAGTTATCAATTAAATAAAAAATAAGTATGTGTAAACTCATAAAATGCCTGAAAGGGCTGGAGAGATGGCTCAGCGGTTAAGAGCATTGCCTGATCTTCCAAAGGTCCTGAGTTCAATTCCCAGCAACCACATGGTGGCCCACAACCATCTGTAATGAGGCCTGGTGCCCTCTTCTGGCCTTCAGGCATACATGCAGAAAGAATATTGTATACATAATAAATAAATATTTTTAAAAAATGCCTGAAAATGTGACACTCAGCTCGGGCCAGCCCATGCAAGCCAGCTCTGGTGCATGTCAACCCTGTGCGTCCCTTTGATCCATGGGTACGTGAAGTTCACCTTCCTCTCACCTCCTTCAGGAGGCTTCTTCAAAGCCTGCAGCCTTGCAGCTTCCCCTTCCCTAGTCCTTGGAGATCACTCCCTTACACCTATCCCTTGGCACTTGGCGCTGGCGACTTTGACTATGCTCCAGATCCAGTGGAGGAGACAGACGGAGAACACGAGTCTTCTCCATCTTTGTATCCATTCACATCCTAGACCAACCTCACCTTGGCAAAATTGCACCAAATCTATTTCGTGACTTACAGTGTAAGGAACTGGTAGGTAAACTCCAACCCCAGTTCTGGAGAAAGGCTATGGAGTCAGACAGACCAGAAGTGAACCTTGCCCCCGCCCCAACTCTGTGACCATGGACAAACATTTCATAGCCCAGTGCCTCAGTTTACTCTTCTGTTAAATGAGAATGAGGACCCTACCAACCTTTGGGAGGTGACTGTGAGACCAAGATGAGACGCAGCATGTGCACCATAAACAAGAGCTTAGCTGTGGTTATAGTCATCCATAATCTTCCAGACTAAGCATCAAATGGAGAGCCTCAGAAATACACAGATTGTGAGTTTGAAGCTGCGTGCCCTTCTGAGTAGCGTGGGTATATTTCTTGCCAGCCTACCCTATCCTGCCTAGGACATGAGCCATGACCAATGTATCCATGCTGTATATGCTACTACCTGTGAGGTGTTTGATAGCTCTCCATTATCAGCTCAACTGCTGTAGTGTCAGGTACTATGGTCAAGTAACTTTATTTTACTTAACAGTGACCCAAAACACAAAATCTGTGGTTTTGTGATACAAATATGCTAAAGTGTTGGGAGCATTTGGAGTCCTGGCCTCCAGCTGCTCTTCCCCACTAGAGATCTTTACTTTCCTTCTGATTTGAGTTACTAAAAGCTGTGTCAAAGTTGTTTACCAGCTCTGCTTCACGAGCATGTGTTGCCTTGCCTTGAGGATCAAAGGATGAGGTTTTCACCTGTTGGCCCACCTGCCTGTGTTGGGTATATAAGCCTCCGTGGTGTTATTGAATAGAGGGCTTCTTACCAGTGACTAGAGGTCTGTGTCCCTGTCTTTCTGTCTGTGTGAGTCTCTGTGTATTTTAATCTCCAGCCCCTTGCCCGAAGCTCGCAAACTGTATGGTAGCGCAAAGAGCGCAGACAGGCGTTGTGCGCTGCACTAAAGAACGGCTAAAAGTTGTTTTCTTTATATTTCATCTTACATCATCACAAAAGGGGTGAGGGTAGAGTATTTCAGTACATAATAGTTCTATTTTATGATAACTTAAATCTCTTACTGTGCCTAACTTATAAATCTGAATAGAGGCATGTATGTAGAGAGAGGCAGCCTGCAGAGAGTTAGGTCCTACACACGGTTTCCACATTTGCAGTGCATTCCCATCCCTACCCCCAACAACAGGGTCACGCTATGCACCTCGAAGTTCACAGCAACCCTCTGAGGCAAGCACGCCATGCTCGGCAGTAGACCCTAAGCTAGAGCATGGTCAGACAAGAACCTGAGCTGCATGCATTGCAGATCCGGCCCAAACCGTGTCTTCCCGGCCAGAGGGCTTTAAGTTGGCCCTGCTCTTCGCAGCTTTGCTCCCTGCTCAGACTCTCACCTTGCAGATAAATATGATAAATGACGAATCCACGAAGTTTTTTGACACCAGCTGTCCATGGGAGAACTTCTCTATCCTCCCCAAGGCCACCAGCTGCCAGAGTTTCTCATCAGACCAGGACTGGAACAGATCCAACTTCCTGGGGGTTGAGGAGAGGGAAGCCTAATCAGAACTTAGCACCAGATATTAGAACAGTCCAGAAAGGGGCCTTGTCCTTGGACTCTCAAGAGAATGCCTGGGGTGGAAGATTCCACCACACTGCATGTCGCATCTCCCCAGTCTGTGGTCAGCATCCTGCATTTCCTCAAGGCCTCCTCTTCCACTGAGTGCCCCCTCCCTGTCCCCACCCAGACAGCCCTGAGTTGCCCAGAACCTGGCTCCTCGCATTCTGCTCCACCCTCCAGGAATCTTCTTGCTGGCTCCATTTCTGCTAATCCCTACAACTCTGGCCCACAAACTCTCCCGATAGCAAGGACCATCAGCTCAGATGGTTCTTTACTGCAGCACATTGGCTATTTGGTTCCCAGTCAAGGGGTCCTGCCCTAACTTTAGGTCCCAGGGCTTATACAAACCTCTATTTGCCTCTGGCCCCTGAGCTTCAAACATTTAGCTCAGAGCCTGGGGGAGAGGAAAGAAGTCTAGAGTCTTTTAGAGTTGTTTAAAGGCTCACTCCAAAGTGGCCATCTCTTCCCTGGCCTCAGGTCCCATGAGTCACACAAGCTGCTTCTCTCTGTCTGGTGACTTCACAGCACTGCTAACAATGATGGACTTCCCTCGGTTCTAACATGTGATGGGCTCCAAACTCAACAGACTCGGGTTGACTGAGCTGGCTAACTCAAGGTGGCTCAGGCATTAAACATGCCGAGTTCAATGAGTTCAGTTCTGAGCATTACATGGGAGCAGGGTCCATAGCCTGACCTCAGAGGGTTATCTAGAAAGAAGGAAGAGGAGGAACATGCCAAGAAGAGCATAGAACCTAGTGTGGACCATGCCCTGGGCCCTCTCCTCTGTCACATACCCCACCCTTAGAGTCTGGGGCAGAAGCTTTCACTGTCCCTTTTCGTGAAGCAAGAAAATAAACCCCAAGATGGGAAGCCTACCCGGAGTTACCTTAGAAACCGAGGTTGTGGATTTGGGCTGGGCCCATGTCCTGGGCTCAGAACAGAGTGATACAACCACTCCTGTACAGTGAGCTGCTAAATCACAGACGGCTAAGCTATAACATATTACTAGCTAGGCTGTAGTAATCTAGTTATCTGTCTCATATTGCATCTGATCATGTTGCTAGTTGGAACGCTCAGAATTTGCTTTGGTTCTGAGATCTATATGAATCTCGGGTTGTTTGCTTTTGCTTTGCTTTGCTCAGTTCAAATAAGCCCTGCTAAATTTAATTAGTCCGTGGGATTTTCCTTTTTCTAAGCCCAAGAGTGGAGGTTGGGTGCCAGACCCATTTCCCCACAGTTTGCACACCTCTCAGGACCTCTTGCCTTTTCCAGGCTCCATCCCCTCGGTGATGCTACCTCCCAGGCCCAGCCACAGGGGCTAGACCCCTCCATCCAGTACATTTAGTCAACATTGACTTGATGAGCATCATGTGTGCTTAGCACCATGACAACGGGAAGATTACAATGGTGGCGAAATCTGGTCCCTGTCAGCACACCACTGTCAGATATGGCATGCAAACTATAAAAAAAATTAGTACACAATGAAGAGTCACAGTATGGATAGGGATTTTAAGCAACACAGGGTGCAGCAGTAGATGGGGCACCCTGTCTATCACAGATGGGGTACATCAGTGAAAGAGGATGTTGAGACCCTGTTACTTTTAAATCAGAGGTGGTATGCCATCATCCTGAGCCCTGACACTCTCATCTATACACTGAGGAAAACGTTTGTCTGAGGGGCTTCACCTCAGCTCCCTGACACCCCTTTATACAAAGAATCTGGAATGTTGAGTTGGGGGCTCCACCCCAGTCCCCCTGGCATCCATTTTGGAATGTTGGGCAGAAAACTCCATTCCAAGCCCCCTCCCCTGAGAGTTGCCTCAGTCCAAACTCTATCTCCAAGAAAGCCCACCAAACAGTTACCCCTCCCCAGGGAAGGTCAAGACCACTCCCACAGGCTATTTAAACTGTACCCCCAAGAGAATGAACACGTGGTCTCCCCTTTTTCCTCTTCGGGGGTCATTCCGGTTCTTCTTTCCCTCCCTCTGTGTTTTCCCAGGGGCCACCCAGGAGCGCTGGCATTCATGAACACCTGGGCATCTTCTAATTCAGTCTAATTTGGTCTGATTGGGATTATTGCATTGGTGGAGAGGCTTGTCAGTCAAAAAAATACTTAACAGAAAATAAACCAAACAACCTCATGGGATTGAATGTGGGACTAGAGATGAGACAGGGAACGAGTACAAAGCACAAGCACCCTGCCTGGCCCAGCAAGTGCTCCATCTAAGTTCTCTTCTCTTGGGTTTTACTGTTCCACAAGGAAGGGATATCTGAGCTGAGACCTGAAGGCGTTTGGCTACATAGAGAAGTTGGGTAGAAATGGGTGTTTTAGAGTACCTCGGGCCAACAACCACACCAGAATATTTCCACCCAAGGGCAGAGCCAAGCACCGAGGAGGAGGAAAGATACTGAATGAGAGGGGAGGTTACCTAAAAAAATTGTAGCGATAGTGAGTTTCCTTCTGAACTTCATCGTCCAGCTTATTCGCGAGGAAATCCTCCCGGTCGACAACCAGGAACTCGGTTTCCTCCATGCAGACCACTGTGGCCCTCCTTACTGCAGTACTCAGAAGGCCCATTTCCTGGTGGGTGAACAGGGACAAAGACAGTGTGAGGCCACGCCCAGTCCTGCCTCAGCCACTTCCGTACTCCCACTCACCCCCCCACCCCACCACTACACGCATTATCAGCAGACCAGAGGAAAGGGGAACCTGGCAAGGCCTCTCTGTGCGGTCTATGGCATCCCTGTGTCTGTGGGGCAGAACAGGGAGTATACCCCTTAAGTATCAGGTAAAGAGGTCAGCTTTGCACATTACATTTCACAGGTAAGGGTCCTAGGGTGCACGCGGGCCAGTGACTTGCACCGAGGACAAGGCAGGCAGGGCCCTGGATAAGAGGTTGGAACAGAAGCCCTGTCTTTCCCAACAACCCTGGCCCAGGAAGTGAGGCCCTTCCCCTGGCTCACCCCGAAACATCCACCCTTGTGCAGCAGCGTTGGGTGAGGGTCCAGGAAGGCACTGCTCCCATCTTCATCCTCGGTCACGGCGACCGTGCCCAGATAGATGAAATAAAAGCTATTGCCTCTCTGCCCCTTCTTGACGATCACACGCCTGCGACCAAACCTGGGAAAGGTTTGACTTCTAATTAAGAAGTGCTCCCGACTCAGGGCTGTGTGCTCTGAGTGAAGACGTGAAGATACAACCTTGGGGTAGAGGAGACTTCAGAATGGCCCAGACCCTGTCTGTCACGCTGGGCCCGCCCCTCACACCTAGCCGGTCTCCTGCTTCACTTACTGGGGCTTCCTGGAAGCAGCGACTGCTTCAGTTTGCCTCACTGTTGGTGTAGCTTAGCATCTGTGAGCACTCGAAAGACCAGCGCTGCCCAACACAACAGACTCTAGAGAAACTGAGCAGCGATCAGCGCTGGCTCTAGGGTCGCATGGGACCCGAACCCTGGTTCTGCACCTGACTATGTGTCTCTGAGCAGGTCATCTCCTCTTTGAACCTCAGACTCTCTTGTCTCTGAACTACAGATGACCTGGTTAGGAACAGACAGACAAAGGGCTGGTGAGACTGGTCCCAGGAGGAGGCACTAGATGCCAAGACTGACAACCCAAGCTTGTGATCAAGGACCCATGTGGTAGAAAGGGAGAATTCATTCCCTCAAGTTGTCCCCTGACCTCCACACAGGTGCTGTGTGTGTCCTTCCTAAATGAGAGAGAGAGAGAGAGAGAGAGAGAGAGAGAGAGAGAGAGAGAGAGAGAGAACATCTCTAGTAGCGCTATACCCCACACACACTTAGGGCACAGACACCCAAGCCTGGTGCAAATTGGATTTGTTAGAAATTCTTAAACCCAGATCCTACTAATGATTCTAGGCAAAGCCAATCCAATGGGAGGAAAGGAAGGAAGGAAGGAAGGAAGGAAGGAAGGAAGGAAGGAAGGAAGGAAGGAAAAATTCCAAGGCTGACCCAAGAGTTACTCTTTCCAACTAGAGTCAGACTGAAGGTAGACGTTAGGAGCTATGACCGTGGCAACCATTTTAGCACTACAGGGAGGAAGGTTGGGCCTGGGGACATGGGCCAGTCATCCCAGCTACCAAGAAGCTGAGGCAAAAATCTCTAGTTCAGGGCTTGCCTGGCCTACAGAGTAAGTTTAAAGCCTGCCTAAGGCCCTGTCTCAAAACAAAAAATGTGAAAAGGTCTAGGGGGTATTCTTCAGAAGAGTGTGAGGCCCGAGTGCAATCCCAGGACTAGAAGATAAACGGGGTCCGCCCAGTCCTGCTTGCACTGACATGCACAAGACTTTGCGTTCCATCTCCAAAGCCAAGGGGGAAAAGGATTGGACTAGATCAGTAGGGTGAGCCCTCACGATCAGATACTGGTAGCTTCTTAAGAAGCAAGACCAAAGGATATATGTATAGGCACCCTCCTGAGTTTCACCGTATGATGCTCGGGGCTCCGCCAGCAAGAAGGTCATCACCAAATGTGGCTCCTTGCCCTTGATCCAGACCATAGGCCAAAAGCCTCTCTCCTTTGTAACTAGCCCAACTGTAGCGTTATTAGCCACAGGGAATGGACTAAGACCCAGTGACTAGATTGAGTGGTCTCCCTCCCTGCCCATCGTTTCTGCATCTGAAAAGTATTGGACTAGATTGGTTCAGAAGCCCCTGTCAGATCATCAGATCTCGTGACACCCAGCAAGTGACTGAGCGACGCTGCTGCCCTCATCAAGGAGCCTCACCAAGTAACCTGCCACGCCTTTCCCACCTGGGGTCCTCCTGCCTAGCCCCACCCTAGTCTAGGAGCCAGGGGCAGGGTGCCTCTCACTGACCTTTCAAAGCGCATGACCTTGGCCAGGAGCAGCTGCAGGGACTCCGCGTAGTTGCGGTAACAATCTAGAACCTGAAGAACGTTGCAGAGCGCTTGGATCTCCTGGTCTGTCCTCCAGGATGGCTTCTTCTGGGTGATATAAATGGCCCTTGGAGGGAAGTGCCCCTGGGGAGACAAGGCCGGAGGGTTTTAGCTGGCAACAATCCATAATCTTGCTACGTGTTCGCCTGTTGTAAGCACAGTAATGGCTAACGTGCCAACCATTAGAGCGAGCACCTACACACCCATCTCACTGCATCTGCACCCAGCCCAAGAATCACTCCTATTTGGTGAAGAAACTCAGAAAATAAGTAGACCTGCCACCTTCCAGGGCAGGGGATGGGGCTGTCCTTGCTTCAGGACCTCATGGTCCCCAGCACAAGCACGCTGCGGCTGGGGCAGAGATGTCCTTGTCTCAGCTACCATGTTCTTCTGTGTAGTCAAGTCTCATTGGACTGCCGCTGTCTAGGCCATGCCAGTCACTGCGGGTATCCCTTCTGAAGCCCTCTTCCTTTTCTTGACTCCTATGCACAGTGTGTGTCTAGGGTTCTGCGGTATTTAGAGAGCTCCCTGGTTTCCCCTGTGTGAATCAGGGCAAAATTTTGGTAACCCTTCCCTGCCTAGTGACAGGCATTGGTTCATCTGAAGAAACACAGAATTTAGAAGAATTCCTTACTATGCTTCACCAATGAGGGGCCATGAGAAATTAGACTGCATCCAAGAGAGCCAAAAACAGGACCCACACCTCCAAGGGGTGTGGGCATGGGGTGGGCATAGGTGGCAATAGCACCAGTTAGGAAGTTCTGTTCTCCCTCTTTCCTCAGAGAAGAGCCCAAATGGGCTACAGACCTCGGTCAAGTCAGATCTGAACCAGGGAGAATGTGACTGGTTCCTATAAAAAGGCAGGATCCTTTACATTTAAAATTGGATGCTAAATTTTTACTTAATATTTAGAATTTGGTGGTTAGAGGAGAGGAAGGTGCCAGGCATGGTGGCACACACCTTTAATCCCAGCACTTGGGAGGCAGAGGCAGGCAGATATCTGTGAGTTCAAGGCCAGCCTGGTCTACAAAGCAAGTTCCAGGACAGATAGGGCTACACAGAGAAACCCCGTCTCAAAGCACAAAGGAGGAGGAGGAGGAGACAGAGGAGAAGGAGGAGGAGGAGGGACGGTGATAATGGTGCTTGAGCCGAGAGCCCACATCACACAGGCAAAGACCCACACGGGTATACAGGCCTTCTCTTGTCAGAGCAGGACTCCATTTAAAGGACATCCAACAAAGGAGGGGCATGTATGTCAGCATCCCTCAGAGAGCTCAGTGCCAAACCAGAATTCACCAACAGGCCCACCACCGGTTTTGCTCTCCTCTGACTGGGTCTATCACATAGTCTGTTCTGCTCTCTGCTGATTTCCCATAAGTCCAAACCCAGAAACTCCCCCAGTCTGGTCCTCCCCAGTTAAACAGTGGCAACACCGTTGGTGTGCCAGGGCTGGGGAAGAGGGGGCAGGATCGCTGTCACCAGAAATGGAATGGTTCTTTCAAAGTGCCACCAGCACTGGCAGAACCTGGACTAAAACCATCTCCGTGCAGAAACAGACAGAAGGGCAGACCCACCCGCGCCCCACACAGGGAGAAGCCCCGCCCCACACACCTCCTCTGCAGCAAATTCCAAGGTATCAAACGAGATCCGGCATTGCTTCTTTTTCTGAAAGAAAGGAGACAGAGAATGAAGAAGCAGTAAAACTGCCCCTGGAGTTCTGCATGGGAAACCCTGTCTACATGGGCCACCATGATAGACAGGAAGCTATGGGAAACCTCCAACCAGATGGCCCTTTATCACCTCTGTCCCAAATCCCCACACCCCCTACTCAGCCCTACGGCAGCATCAAGGTAGAGGGAAGGACAGGGTAGAGAGAAGGACGTGGCAGTAGGAAAAACAAGAATAAGGGAGAAAAGGAAGAGGGGAAAGAAACAGACTGGATCGCACAGAAGTGGGGGAAAGGAACAAAATCTGGGGCAGGTGAAGTCAAGCTTTGTTAAGTTATTTTTATGTTTTATTTTCTTTTTTAAAGATTTATTTATTTATGCATACAGTGTTCTGTTTGCATGTATGCCTGCAGGCCAGAAGAGGGCACCAGATCTCATTACAGATGGTTGTGAGCCACCATGTGGTTGCTGGGAATTGAACTCAGGACCTCTGGAAGAACAGCCAACGCTCTTAACTGCTGAGTCATCTCTCCAGCCCCCAAGCTTTGTTAAGTTTTTATAGTAACTCAAACATGGTACATCTTCCATCTATCCCTCCGTTTAGTCAACAGGCAAAAGTTGGTTTTGTCAATAGGAAAAAATTGTTTTTATCAAGTCCTATACTGGAAAAACTTGTCTAAGAGCCAGTCATATAGTAAGAGGCCAACGGGGTGATGATGGCACACACCTTTAATCCTAGCACTTGGGGAATCAGAGGCAGGCAGAGATCTGTGAGTTCAAGGCCAGACTGGCCTACAGAACAAGTTCTAGGACAGCCAGGGCTACACAAAGAAACCCTGTCTCAAGAAAAAAAGAAAAAGAAAGAAAAGATAATAATTAGATTATTGTCTCAAAAAAAAAAAAAGGTGGAAGTCCTATCCCTCACTGTCCATCTCCTGATCCTCCATCCTTCAGAAATCATTCTGGGGCATTTCTTGGAATATGATGTTAGCTGCAGAAGGCAGAGGGTTGGGTCTAGCCAGTGATGGTCTAAGAGGAAAATGGGCATGACTGGTCTACATACTGAGCTGGGAAATACTGAACCTGGAGTAGATGGAGACACACTGAGTACCCATGAAAATCTTTGGGAAATGGAAGAATTATCGGAATGGTAGCTGTGATGACTGTACTGAGAATGGCTGCTGTGGACCCGTATGTTCCAATACAAGGGCCTCAGTTGGTGGAACTGTTTGGGAAGGATTGGAGGAGGTAGGTCTTTGGGGGTGGAATTTTGAGTTTTCAAAAGGACCCTGCAATTTCCAGTGCTCTGTCTCTGTGTCCTACTTGAGGATCAGATATGAGCTCTCAGCTGCTGCTCCAGCACCGTGCCTGCCTGCCTGTCTGTGCCTGCCTGCTGCAGCACCCACCCTGCCTGCCTGCTGCAGCATCAGGCCTGCCTGCTGCCATGCTTCCAGCCATGATGGCCATGAACTTCTGTAAGTTGCTTTGGTCATTGTGTCTTATCACAGCAATACAAACATAAGACAGTGGCCAACCAACCACTATTTCTAAAACCAATTAAAAAAAAAAAGAGTTCATGATTTACTATTGAGATAAGGTATTTGAAGCTGGGACCTTCTTTATCTTGAAAATGGGATCAGAACAGCACACAGCGTCCTGAAAATGTCTCCTTCCTTTGGTAAAGAGAGCATATGCACCTTAAAACACTCAGAAAAATCCGGGTTCTGATGTGACCTCCTAATTTCTTCAGGCTCTTGTGATTACTGTCAGAATGTAGTTTTTTGTTTTGTTGTTGTTGTTTTTAACATGTATTCGCGTTTTGCCTGCCTGTAAGTCTGTGTGAGGGTAGCAGATCCCTGCAACAGGAATTGCAGACAATGTGAGCTGCTATGGGGTTGCTGGGAATTAAACCCAGGCCCTGGAAGAGCAGTCAGTGATCTTAACAACTGGGCCATCTTTCCAGCCCTATGGCTACAGCTGGAAAGCATGCCACGCCTCCCTCAGCCCCGAGGTTTCATTCCATCTGAGGGATGTGTGTGAGTACAACATGACTGGCTTCTATTATCACAAGGAGGAGCCACAAACTTTGGGAGGAGAATCGGGACAGGAGCCCCCTTTTCTCCCTTCTCTCTGTTCTGCCCTATACTCAGGACAGTGTGCTCTGCTACTGTCTGAACCCGAGGCCTGCCTCAGCCAGCACTGCCTACCACAAGGCCATGAAGGGATATCTAATACAGGGCTCAGTCTTGGGCACCCCACTTGTTCCAATGCCAGACTGGGACGAACAGAGGCCATGGTTTCCATTGTCTTCTCCCACAGTTGGCTTGGATTGAGGCCCGGGAGATGTGGTGTGGACTCATGAAATCCCAGCAGCCCTGGTTAGTGGGGCTACTTACATCCCAGAAGGAGAAGACAGGTTGCTTCCGGTGAACAGGCTCGATGATCTGATACTCCCGGAAGCCCCTGAGGCCTTGGCGGAACATCTTGCACACGCGGATCATTATGATTATGTCCATGGTGAGCTGGTACAGCCCCTGTGGAAACAGAGTGGACCAGGGCAATGAAGTCATCTGCCCTTGGGCTGGTCAGCCCTACACAGGGCGGAATCAAATGACGTGAAAGGCAGAGATATATTGGAACAGTGGTTACACAGTCAGAAGGTTTGCTTTGGGGAGTGGGGCTGGGGTGCTGGGGATGAAGCCTGGGGACTCGAGCATGGGTTCTACTGCTCAGCATCCACCCCATCCTCTCAGGAAGTTTGAAAGCCAGCTGAAATTTTGTGGGTAGCTTTAAACTGTCCAGGGCTGGGGGTAAACACTCAGAGCATCTGCCCCACCAGGAGCCAATTGTTAAACAGTCACAGTGCACTAATTTTTATTTTTGTAGAGAAAATAAAGAATACAACTGTATGTATGTGCATGTGTGTGAGTGTGTATGTATGTGTATATGTGTGTGTTTGTGTGTGCATGTGTGTATGTATGTGTGTGTGTGCACACACGTGTGTGTGTGTGCGCATGTGCGCGCACGCTGGGGTAAGGGTGAAATATACAAAAACTGGGGAGTCAGATGGACCTGAAGGGAAATGGTGAAAGAGATTGAACACTGCTAGCTTTAAGCATGGAGAAAAACATCACAAAAGAAGAAGGGTAAGCGGCCCTAGAAGCAGAGACATCAACACCTCTGTACTGCAGTCTCTGGGGCCTTGCAAAAGGAATGCAGGCCTGCCGACGCTGATTCTTGTTTTGTTTATTTATTAGTGTGGTGCTCATTTGCCTGTTTATTTGCTGACTAAATCTAGGGCCTCGCATGTGCTAGGTGAAGACTACACTGAGCCATATTCCCAACTTCTGACATCATGATTTTAGCCTAAGACAACCCCTACTATATTGAAGGCTAATACATCTGCATTGTTTTAAGTCATTAAATTGTAGTGATTTGGGTCCAGAGATATGCCTGGCTCAGTGGTAAGGGCACTTGATGACAAACCCAAAGCCTTGAATTTGACACCCAGACCTAAAGGGTGAGAGGGGAGAACTGACTCGCATGACCCTGTCCTCTGACCACATGGGCAACAAGGCATACACAGACAGGAGCACACACACAAATAAATATACACATACATAAATAAATGCAACTTAAAAGTTAAATAGTGGCAGTGTGTTACATCAACAATAGAAAGCTATTATCTAATCTGAGCCACCTGTCATTTCCCATAGGATGTGGAATTGAACTGAGGACAAGCAGGCCATCCATCCCAAACTGAACTGGGGAGTCAGGGCAGCAGTCACCAGTCAAACAAATGTGGAGAAAGGGCGGGAAATTGGGAATGCAGAACAATATAGAGGTCGAGCGCTAGTCCGTGTCTTCAGGAAGTCAGTCTCCCGAAAGCAGGAATGGGGGACATTTTCGATTCTAAAGAGACATTTATTGAGCCTTTGAGTCCATGATAACAAACTATAAAGGGCCTGGGAGGGATGCTCAGTAGCGAAAGCATTTGCCATGTGAGCATGAGACTCAATCTCCAGAGTCCACACCAAAAAGCCAGGTGTGGTAGCCCGTGTTGGTGATACCAGCTCAGAGGAGACGTTGATAGGCAGATCTGGGCCTCACTGGCCAGCCAACTTGACACGCTCCAGGCCAATAAGAGACCATGTCAGGAAAAACAAAGTAGACAGTGCTTCAGAACTGACCTCTGACCTCTACATACATGCACACACATAGGCACCTACCCTGATACACATTTTTTTTTAAAGAATGGTTGCACTGTGTAGCCCCAATTGTCCTGGAACTTGCTATGTAGATCACAGGCTGACTTCAAACTTACAGTGAACCACCTGCCTCTACCTCCCAAATGTTGAGATTAAAGGCCCACAACACCACACCCTACCTACACACACAGACTTTGACATTTGTGTGTTTGTTTGTTTTGTTTAATGTGTATTCTGACTGAATGTGTGTCTGTGTGTCATGTGTGTGCCTGGTGCCCACAGAAGCTAGGCTATCCCTGGGACTGGAATTGCTGATGCTTAAGCTGTCCTGTAGATGCTAGGAGTCATCTAGAAGAACAGTCAGTGCTCTTAACCACTAAGCCATTTTGCACCCCCACTAACTCCATCCCATGCTCAAACACAGTTTTATTTATAGCAATGAGACATTTGAGGCCTGCAGATGTGGCTTATTCAGGCTTATCCAGCATATACCTAGGCCTGGGCTTAATCCGCAGCACCCAGTGTCATATGAAACTGGACGTGACAGTATATGCCACTTGGAAAGTAGACTCAGAACACACCTTTAATCCCAGTACCAGGAGGCAGAGGCGGGCGGATCTCTATGAATCCCAGGCCAGTCTGACCTACAGAGTGAGTCCCAGGACAGTCAGAGCTACACAGAGAAACCCTGTTCCAAAAAAAAAAAAAAGCCAATGAGTTGGTTTTTTTAATATGCAATTTGCTTTTAAATAATTTAGTTAATACATCCAGGAGCTTGGGCATGTTTCAGTGTTGGAGCATGTGCCCTAGGATCAATGCCCAGCACTCGAAAATAATCGTCTCATATGTGATTCAAGTTCTCCTTTGGATGACTTGTTCATATCCTTTGTTCATTTAGTTATGAGATTATTTGTATTTTTATTATAATTCCTGAGCTTTAAGAAAAAAATTTCTAGATAGTATTGTTTCCGTTTGTTTGCTTGTTTGGCTGGTTGGTTGTTTTTGAGACAGGGTCTCACTATTGTAGACTAGGCTGGACCTGAACTCACAGAGACACCCGCCCCGCCCCCACGCATGATTGGATGGTAATTGTCTAGTTACATGCATGGCAGCCTATGAGTGCAGTTTCTCTCTCCATTTATATTTGCTAGGCACCGAAGTTTGTAAGCTGAAGTTTTAATTTAGTTTTTGCACAATTTATTTAATTCACTCTGTAGTCCAAACTCAAAGCAATCCTTCTGCTTCAGTCTCCAAAGAGCTAGAATGTTAGGCATGTACCAACACATCTGGATGGTTTTGCATCTTTTAAATTATGAAAACTTTTAAATATAAACTTGAAAAACTATGTATAACCCGGGTGGTGGTGGCACATGCCTTTAATCCCAACACTTGGGAGGCAAAGGCAGGCAGATCTCAGAGTTCAAGGCCAGCCTGGTCTGTAGAGCAAATTCTAAGGACAGTCAGGGCTACATAGAGAAACCATGTCCAAAAACTAAAAAGAAAGGAAGGAAGAAAGGAAAGAAGAAAGGAAGAGAGGGAGGAAATAAAAGAGAAAAGAAAAGAAAAACTATGTCTAATGATTGCTCATTAGTTTAGCCAATGTTTTGCCATATTAGCATTTTGGGTTTTCATACAAGTGCAGGTATGTGTTGTTGATCAGGGAGTTTGCTGTGTCTCTTAGTAAGATCGGAAGCTACACCCATAAAGTCTGACCAATATGGCTGCCTAAATAGGAGCTGAACAAGGACAACAATAACACATGGTAAAGTGGACAGAGGAAAGACTGCAAGGCTTCAACCCTACATAAAGAACTGCAGGCAAGGAAGCCAGGCGATGGTGGCACACACCTTTAATCCCAGCACTTGGGAGGCAGAGGCAGGCGGATCTCTGTGAGTTCGAGGCCAGCTTGGTCTACAAAGCAAGTTCCAAGGCAGTCAGGATTGTTACACAGAGAAACCCTGTCTCAAAAAGCAAAACAAAAGAAAGAAAGAAAGAAAGAAAGAAAGAAAGAAAGAAAGAAAGAAAGAACTGCAGGCAACTAAGGAAGGCTGAGGACAGGAGAAATAGTCTTCCCCATTGTGGTAGTTTGGATGTAATTGGCCCCCAATAAGATCATAGGGTGTGGCATTAGTATTAGTGGGAAGTGGGGCCTCGTTGGAGTATATATGCCCTCACTGGAAGAAGTATGTCACTGTGGGGGTGGGCTTTGAGTTCTCCTACGCTCAATCCCGGCGTCACAGTCCATCTCCTGTTGCCTGGAAGATGTAGGACACTCAGCCACTTCTCCATCACCATGTCTGCCTGCAGGCTGCCATACTCCCCTTCCTAATGATAATGGACTGAACCTCTGAACTGTAAACTAGCACATCAATTAAATGTTCTCCTTTATAAGAGTCGCTGTGGTCATGGTGTCTCTTCACGGCAACAGAAACCCTAACTAAGACACCCAGGGAAGAACACACCAACTGTTTATCTAGTAACAGTGAAAACATACATACGCATAACATTATACAGGGTATGTTTAGAAATATTTATGCATATATATAAACATATATATGTATATGGATTTGAAAGAGAGCGAGGAGAGCTATATGGAAGGACTGGAGGAAAGGGAAGCGAGAAGTGGCAGAATTATAACCTCGAAATAAAAGAAATCATTTTAAAGTACTTCTTTAGCAATATTAATGCTTCCCGGGTATAATTTGCTATCGTCAGGCCTTTGTTCTCTTCTCACCTATCCTAAGCAGTAAATTCTCTTTACAGAGGAGCTAAACTGTACAGCAGACCCAGTTCCAAGCCTATGGTCACATGACTGGCAGGTGGCGGGCATCTAAACCTGGGCAGCCTGGCTCCAGAGTCCTTAGCTAACCCTCTTACTCTCCTCTACTGCCCTGCCTCGTTCCTTCTCACCGTTCCAGAAAGAAGGGGTAGAACATGACCTCGGAGCTCACCCCAGGGTAGAAGGCTACAGAGCAGGGATCAGAACTCAGTCCTGAGCCTCTCTGGCACACCCCTTTTCGTGCCGTGCTGTGAATTCTTAGAGGCACAGCGTGCCACCATCCACCCGCGGCCTCACCCACACCTGCTTCTTCCTTCCTCCAGGCCTACTCCTTCGACTCTCTGCTCAGGGATCCCCTCCCAGAGCCTGTGGCCCGCCTCACCTCTTCCACCTTCAGGAACAGCCAGCTACGAGACCCCACCCTTCTCTTCATGCTTCCTAAGTTGGCAAAGGGCACAACTGGACCCTTTGCCTTTCACAGGGACAACAACAAATCTTCCCCTACAAAATCGTTAAATTAGAAACAAACAGTCCCTTCCACAGCAAG